TTTTTTTTTTTTTTTTTTTTTTTTTTTTTTTTTTTTTTTTTTTTTTTTTTTTTTGTATTAAACACGCCTATCTCTTTATTTCAGTAAGTTGATACAGAAGTATGGAATAGACGTAAATTCCATTTGTTGAAAATTAAATTCAGCGCGACTTTTACATATCAGTGTCCTTCACGCTTTCACATGTTTTCGCTCACTGTCTGACACTCTCACTCTCACGTAGTAATCGGAACCAGTGTTTCGACTGCTTTACACACTTTTGTAAATCTCATACATATATATATATAAAAAAGGATACTTTTGCATCATAACAAAAAGGAGAAAGAGAAAGATTGTACAATCTTTACAATTACTACAAATTGGAAGTAACAAAATATAAGCTATCGAAAATATTGATAAAAATTTAACAATCGAGTAAAGTTTTTGTCATTGCTCTTTGGCACACGCCGGAAGCGCAAAAATTTATGTAGATATGTATACTAATGTTGATAACATACGAGAGCCTTGTGCCAAGTACTTTCGCTGATGACTCTTTGAATTTAACTTGTTTATTGCTTTTTCCGTCCCTCTCGAATTTCAGTTCCTTGGTCGTTCGAGAGATTTCGGAAACAATTGAAAACTACACTGCACACGAAATCCATTATCAACAATAATTTCTACATCTTGATCACACTTGATTACAGTTATATATCATGTACATAGTGAGTGAATAAAAAAAAATTGAAAAAGGATAGTGATGAAGTAGACCACCTAAGACTGATGTTTCATAAAATAAAAAGGATCACTTAAAATTTCGGAGCAAATGATGCGCGGGTTTCGAGAGAGGGTACCGTATGCGCCTTTTAAATATTTTCCGTCATATCGCTTTCTCTTGCTAGTACTTTATCTAGTTAATGTTCTTTTCATTTTGTATAATAAATATATATGTATTGTATATATATAATATATCCTTATTTGTGATCCATATTATAATTTTCATTTACGTTTTATTACATCTTCTGCATCTACTTTTACTAATTTTTTTTTACCTTTTTATGCCGCACGAAAAGCCACTTATTTTCCAATGTTTATATATTACGCACAAACTTAAAAACCGCTTTTTTAGCCACTTCCCATTCCTTTTTACAATTGCTTTCCAATAATTGGTAAATGCCGAATTGAAGCGAGTCAATTTTCAATTTAATTGAAAAATTCTCTTTAGTTTCACTAAAAAAAAAAAAAAAAAAAAAAAAATTTTTAAAAAAATTAA